AGATAAATCATCGCATCTCTTGATGGGTATTTGCATAGATGTTTGCATGGATACTGCGCTGAAGAGTTCTACATCTGAAACCGAAGGCCAAGTCAATCGCACGTCCACATGCACGAAAACACACAAACACTGTCCTAAAATGCGTTTAGATGAATGCAATCAGAGCAAAAAAAACGAAAATTGACAAAAAATGGGCGGATACATCAATGGAATGTATCTTTAGGATGAGTCTGCAAGGTCAGCTAAGTGTAACTGTTATTCTTAAACACGTGTGAATGAAGATGGTACAGAAGCACCATGAAGTGCCGACAAATAGCTACCGAAATAGGTCGCATTTTATGAATATTATCACCCAAAGATCACAACGCCAATGTTAGCAAATTTCCAAATAATTGTACAAAATTTTGATTGAACTTAAATTTGTTATTTTCATTGGGAATTTAGGGTGTTAATTATTTCACCAAATACATAAATGTTCTGAGCAGGTGTTTGTGAATAATATTTGTTGGTAATGCTAAACAAATGAGTCGTTTCTAAATAAAAAACAGTTCGGCTAAATTAACCAAAAACAGCTCTTACCAGGAACTCTAGCAAATCGAGCGTAAAGTTCGCATGTTTAAAGTTTAAATTATCGGGTGGGAGCAAAAAAACCGAAAGGATGCTCTCTGTCCTTTTTAATCAGTGGTGAGTTTTTCCCAGTTGCCCAAACAGTCAAGGCAGAATTTTCACGAAACCTTCCGCGAGTTACCTTCGAAATACCATGAAATGCCTACTAATCTGTCAGTTCTAGGTAAAGATTGACATGTTTTTGTAGAGGTGGATGCACGTGTAAGGGAAGGGGTGAAATGTTTCAGTGGTTTCACCTTTCATTTTGAAAATGCCACGCATCAATCAATGCACGAACAACCCAAATGCTGTCACACTGATCCCTATCAGTTTCTCCTACTCGACAAAGGATGACGATATGCTGAAACAGCGAAGAGATATTGCAAGCAATGCCTGATTAGCAACTAATGAAATCTGACCGAATGCCACTACAGCATAGCTTCATGAAGATCTCATTTGTATTTATTGAGGTTTGAACGGTAAAAATTAGCTCATTTTAACATCCTCAAGACAACTTCTTTTCTGTTCTCTGTAGATGAAGGTAAAAAGGAAGAATGTCGGTTCACCTGGAAAAAATTTGGATCATCCTCCGTTGTTTTTTTGGATTGGGGTTTGTACTGCCAGAGTTATGTCCGTCTAAATGGGATTCGATTTGCGTAATTCTCTGTCGTATAAGGTTTAGTAAATGATGCTTAGTCAAAGCTTAAATTGACAGATTTCATTAAAATTATTAATTTGTGTGAAAATTCAAACTGTTTGTAAGCTGATTTTGTTTCACTTTTACTGTGCAATGTTCCTTTTCTGATAGATCAGTTTCAATACGGATCTAAAGTGCGGCCGAAAAGTTAATTTTGGATCCCTTTATGTGAGTCCAAATGGATGTGTACTAATTGAGAAAATAAATACACCTGCTTCAAGGGCACTTCAAGGAAGCAACTTCGGTTGTTGAACATTCTTTACCTTTTTTGTAGGTTCGATTGGTATTTATTTTCCGCTTCTTGCGCCTGATTAAGTCAGTGATCTTTGTTTGCCATCCCACTTTAATTTACAGCTTATTATTAAAACACATTCTCGTCATGACTCTTAAACTAAAAATAGAAAATTCTGCGCTGATTTCAGTTAACCTTACACATGATGTTCAACTTTTTACTACAATTTCGTGAGAAAAAAAAACTGGCAACTATGAGGTTCTTGTTAAAAATAAACTTGGAGAAAACAGTAAGAGTTCCTAAGATTCTCCTACCACCTGCGCAATTTTTCTAGACTTAGTACTTTACTAGCAGTAGGTAGTGCCTAAGCACAAAATTCATGTGTGATATCTCATCCATTGATAAAAATTTGTTTTATTATTCCAAATTTTTAGGCTTCAAACAAAAATATGCTGATGTAAATAGACTCATGGAGACTTTTAGAAATTTACGAGTTCGGCATAATGACGGAAGCCCTTCATACCTTAAACATATAACAAAACACTTTATTTTTCTATCTAATGCACAGAAATCTATCTTGAGACTATTGACTGCGTCATAATTAGTCTATCCATGAAACGTTTGAATCTAAGCACATTCCCTTCCCTTAAAAGTGTAGCTTTTCAGATGGCTTTTCGATGTATACTTACTTCCAGACCGGCCTCTTCTTGAGTCTCGTGGTTCAGGATGTTGGGCATGCGAGTATACTCATAAAAGGCACCGCTACAAATCGGAACTGTTATTGGTTCACATTGTGGGGTCGCGTAACCGCCCGCGTTTACGGCCTCCTCGCTAATTGGAAGACTGCCAGCATCCTGCCACTGGGTTTCCTCTTGGGGATCCGCCTGCCTTATAACTCGAGTTTTGCTTTTCCGAACGATCACCTCCCCGATTGACGCATGTAGAAGAAACAACAGCAAAGCTATCTTGGTGCTCATTCTGTAATTAAAGCTAAATCAAGTTAATTATGACTCAAATAACAAAGCCACTTATTTCATAAAAATCCTGGCTATTATATACATATGATTTAATCTTAAGTTCTTACAAATCTTCTAAAAGTGGGTACTCCTTGAGTAACCAAGACTCGTCGTGCATGATTCACCTTTTTCTCCATTCTCAGACAAAGTTAATGCAGTCATTGTATACAAACTGGGAGGTTATATTAGACGTTCCACCACCACCCATGAGAAAATCCTGTCAATCACGCAGCCCAGCTTGGCCTGTTCTGCAGACTTCGTCCACGCCTCTCACTGCTCCCCCCTTTTCTATGCAAAATATCATCAACTTTGCAATTCTCGTGAGTTCAACAGCAGCTCACTTCCGTTGCCTGTCCATAAACAGGCATGATTTATCCACTCCCTCACAAATAAACAGGCCAAATGTTTTCTTTCTACAGATTTGTCATTTCTACGGACTTTGTTCTCTTTCCTTACTTCCTCTTGAACTCCATTCACATCGGTTCTGTCCTAAATCGCTATGATCTTGAAGTGTAAGCCTCTAACTAATATTTAAATAAGATGAACTAATTACTATCCAAGTAAAGTGCTTAAGATACTTATGAACTCGCACTCCGGGATTCGGTTGGTATAGGATGCAGCATAAAAGTAAAATCATGTAAATCTGCATTTAGATGAGAATGTTGACAGCTCAGCAGATGGACCATGTTGAGCTCTGACCGAAACGAAGAAGATGAAGGGTGAAAGCCAAAGATGTAAATACACCTGCCACTCCCATTGAGACCAGTCCCTAAGTGTGATTCATCTGGTACACACTAGAGAAACCGGATACAGTCGGGGTGATGCCGTGGGAATTCACTTTGTAGAAATGAATGTGTGGTTTCTGGAGCACCCCAAGACCCACCCAGAAATCTGAAAAATGGAACCTCTTCTATCATCGTGCAAATTCTAGGCTTTTGATTGTGAGCACAAATTTAGGTAGATATTGTGTAAAGTCCACCATGGTTATGAAGCGGTCGACTGGATAATTTCAATGAATTCAAGATAGCCAATTTCTTACTTTCATTACTGACCATCTCGAAATGGCAATGCACTCTAAGAAAGCTTTAAGTATCATAGGGTCATTTAATTATGTACCACGAATTATGTATCAATGTTCTTTTGGATAACAAATTTACGAAGGCCCTCTTATGTAGTGAAATAAAAAGCCATGAGTCACTTGTGGGGTGTCAACGCGAATACAAAAGCCTGACCACCTAAGACAAATGTATTCAAATTTATTAAAGAAATCATCCCTTTAGTGTTATTTGAATTGAACTTCAACTATGCACTTGACGCAACTACATCAGCACCAGGAATTTTCTTCACTTTGCTTTGACCGTAAAACACGGATCCGACTGGCTATTTTCTAGTTAATTCTTACCAAAAGTTAACATTAAGGTCAGCGACACTATTAATTCAGACAAATATCAGAAACTATCGAGTTGCAAATTGCGGCTACGCACAAGATTCATATTAAATCGTCCTCCGTTTTAATCGGGAATTTCAGTCAAATCCTTTTGGGAGCAGCCGCTTATGCGAAATTATCTAGGTAGACACTTCTCCTTTAAATTATGTGGCTAACACAAACGTTTGTTGCATATTTTCGTAAAGTTTGATTCGCAATTCGGAATGAGGGGAATGGTAGATGGTAAGGGTTTGGTCGAGAGAGCGCAAAGGAGGCTCAGAAGTCCATTATCTGGCGTTTCGAGTCACGGTGGTTACAAATGAAATATCTCCTGAGCGTCATATTAGACGGAACAGTTGTTGGTCCCATATTGCTGGTTAGCTTGGAGCCCAAATATACATTTGGATGTGGCAACTGGCTAGAGCATTTATCAAATTCTTGTCTAAATAACATGAGTGACTCACAGGAGGAGAGATAGTAATTTTATCATCTCCCTACCTATCTCCCTATCTATCTGTCCATCTCATGCGTGAAATTGTTACCACAATTTTCATTTTACTTGCGTGCAGTTGTGCGTATATGATGTGAATGATGTGTGCTCCTATCAGTGACCCTGTTGACGCTTCGAGGACCTAACTGCCTGTTAAAATTTCATGTGATCGTCCAATAAAAAGCCGATATTCTGCCAAGTGCTCCTGCTGTCCAACCCTAAATTTCATCTTTGTAAACCCATTTAGCATCAAAAACTTGATTCATCATGGTACTCATGAGCATTTACTAGAACGACGACTGAATTAGGTGGTAATAACAAAGTTTCATCTGGTTAATCTGTCTAATCAGTTTGTTGTGCAGATATGGCAAAGTTTAGTGTTAAAATGATACATGAAAGTGGAGAAAAAGGGAAGCTGAGGCTCTGCGGCATACCTGGAGCATTACATTTTTTAGTATCCAATCAAAAAAAATGTTCATGAATAAATCAGTGATTTATTGGAAACCTTATTTAGGCAGAGGTCATGTTAAATGTTGCATGGTTAAGAATAATTCACAATCCGGTTTGACTTTCCATCATTGATTTTTGCTAAAGATCTTCTTATCTTAAGGTAACAAAGTCCTCCTTTAAGATTCAAGAAATTCCTCAAAATCCCGTAAGTCTATAGAACTGTGATTGTTCTTTCGTTCACATCATGAACTTAGACTAGGTTTAATTCTTCGCTGCAGCATTGACTCATAGTAAATATAACACCGTACAATCAAAAAAGCAGTTGAGTTTATTGAATCCTGTTTGTACTGTCTGCTATCTTTTAAGCTCAACGCTGCGCATATTTAAAGCCAAAGCACGTGCAATTTGGTTGAAAAACCGGGTTCACAGATGTCAAACTAATCAAAAAGTGTAGGACGAGATAAGTCTACGAAACTGGAGAGATCAGTAGTTTGAACGGAAGTCTTTCACCTTTGCACACACAAAAGGTCACTTTTTAGATAAAAGTATAAAGATAGAAGTTTGAATAAAAACACATGTTTTGGGTTTAAAAAGGAAAAAGCATTCGACATTTCCCAAGAGGATTCTATGGAAACCAATTTTAGCATGCAAACATACTTTATAGATGCAAGTTAATAAGCTCCCACAAGATTGGCGACTACAATTTTCACTTCGAAAGGATATTTCAGGAGAAGGCGAAGTCCCATTTTATAGGCTCGCGCATCGAAGAATAAAACCGAGGCCTCCTTGTGTGTCCCAATTTCGATTGGCTAGCGCAGTACACACACTTGGACACACGACCGCACATTCGTGCGATATCGCATTACGAGGTGGGCCATGACAAGGCATTTTCGATCTCGGTTTACTCAAAGCTGAAATTATAAATAAACTTTAGAATTTGTTTGAGTGGCAAATCTAAATTACTATTCATTTCATGGTATTCATCATAAACTAAAAGAAAATTAGGTAAGATGACAAGAAGTCTAGGAAAATTTTTCAGCGAGTTGCTTCTTACTTGCTAAGACATAAAAGACATGACAGCAAAATTTGGCGTTAGAATCTCAGGCATCATCAATTCTATTCTGTGCTGCGAAATTGATGACCACAGTGGATGCCAATTATCAGTCAGGTCTGTTAAGGCATTTACAACTACTTGGATCTAATTTTGTTTATTAATTTAGATCGGCATCAATACGTACCACATTAAAAAGTGAGTAAACTAACTTGCCATTTTATAAGCAGAGGTCATCACATAAGAGCTTCGGCCTAATCTGTGACCTCTAACTAACCATGCCAAAGGGGTATTAAAAACTATTCATTCGTTTTAAGGTGCTTGAGATAATCAAAGCCATGAAGGCAGGCATTCTTTTTGTGCATCAATCATCTTTAGATATTCGCTTGTTGTGTATTCTGCCAAATATTTACCTTGCCCGAGAATTTGGAGGACATATATTGAGACCAAGTCGAACAAGATTTTTACTTTGCCACCCAATTTTTAATAAGTTATTAATGATATAAAGATTTCCACTTTATGTTTTGTTGCCGACTTCTCTGAATGTGAAAGAACGTCTAGTTGGGAACTGTTTAAAAACATTCCATTTTATCGTTCAAAATCAAATAACTACGCTTATCCAGAAAGTGGTAAATTATTTACTTGAATGTAGAAAATCATGAAGGATATTGATTTCCACCTCACCAGTTTTACTAATAGTACCCCTGTAAATCATAGTCGTCTGTAAGAGCAGCCTTCAAGCGGTCATGCGTTATATCTCTGGATCGAAGTTTGGAAAGATTTTTTTAGCAATTGGCTAGAGAAGGACCGAGGTGGCTTTAAATTTGAAAACGGTGCATCGCTTTTGATTGAACTCCGTAAGTTTAAAACGTAGTTGTCATATCAGATCGATAGTCATCCATCAATTAATTCGAAGGTCATTAACTATATCCGGACGTCACTGAAACAAGATACGTATCTTTGCGTGACAAATTGACACTTGTAATTTTCGAAGTGTTTTATTAAAAGCATTATGAAAACCTTGACAGTAGTCTGTGTAAGGGCAGGGAATGCGGCTGGAATTCGACCGGCCTTAATGAGATTGTACATCAAAGAGGTGGCGCGACTCCTTTGAGGATCTTCCAGTCGGTCATTTTGGTAATGTTAAGAGCAGTATTAAAATCATAGACATGGCAGATACCATGTCTGGCTAGCCACCATAGGTGTGCACAGAGAAGCAGTGTGGTGCAGACTCTAAGATGTCTACCAAATTTCATAGATATCACATCAGATTTCGACAATATGTTTCACTTACTCATGGATTATTTTGGATACACTTTACCTTCTACATTAATTTTAACTTATATAAGTGAGCAATCTGCTGCGTTTTGCATAGGATAGCTCATCTTATGGTATAAATCTACAACTTTTTAATCAGTCATCAACAAAGTCATTGCATTGCATAACTTCCCCATAATGTAAAGGTGAGCATGCAACTTTGAGCTATCATGCATCCAATCACT